CTTTCATGGAGGTAGTTTCCGTGACAAGGCAGTTTGAAGTGCTCTCGTCGAACTGTGCACTACAGCAATCCTAGAAGCCAGCATCAACGGGCACTACAGTTGTGGTTTCAGCTTGGAAACAGCCTCCGGGGTCTGTAACGGTTCCCAAAGCTCAGATAAAAATGTGGATCACCAGCTCCCATACAAAACATTATGGTATGGTACAGGAAACTTGACTCTGTATGATACACTCTTTATCACACAGAGATGAATATCTAGATGTATTGAAAATTGGAAAGAACCCAATGATTCAGAACACTAGATCCGGCTTCTGAATATTGGCAAGTCAAAATGGATAACAGAAGACTGCTTTTAGCACTTGAAAAGGACTGAATGAATCCTGCATCATGCAATTGAGTCTGAGTAATGCACCTGCCACTTTCGAGAAGCTAATTGAGTTTACACTTAAAGGACTACGATGAAAGATATGTCTCATTTATCCTTATTCAGAAGCACAACATTGTGCAACACCAGCAGCACTGAAATGCCAACAGGGTATTTTGCCAACCTGTGAAGGCATGTCTTCATTGAATATCCAGACCCTGGACACCATGAAGCAATTAAAACCATTGCAGCAGCATTGATAATGAAGTATACAAGAAGGTACAATTTTGTGCTTGGATAGACACAATGATTGACCAGTCAGGAACTTCAAGAAGAGTAAATGAATGACCCAAACATACTTTGGATACTACTTGCAATTCACCAAAGTTGTATGTGCCTATCACAAACTAATTAATGAAGCTATAAAAACAAGTTAACTGCAGATGAAACGCTGATTGGGCAGTGAATTGTTGGAGACAATCGATAGATCTGAAATGCTATTTTTATACCCTTTTGACTTTGAGATGCAATGAACAAATTAAGAGGAATGTTGGAAAAAAACATCTGCAGCTAACTTGCTTTTATAACAATTTTAGGACTAATGGTTGGATACAGAATGGCAATTAAGTGACTATTGTATTCTCAAGATAACTCAGAATTAATTATGATACTTGCAATAAATTAAGAATAGTAATTGGTCCTTAAATTAAAAAAACTAAATTAAATGGCAAACGCCTTTATTCATCAGTACGCTCTTCCACTCACCTAACTGAAACGTTAAATGCATTACTTATCCTTAAAGCGCTGAAGTTTGATGTACCAAAGAAGCCAACAGTAATAGTATTACGCTATTTAAAATAACAATGGCAGAACATAAGAAAGAATTTAGTTTTAATTAATCATAGGCAGTTTTGTGGTACTTATTCCACTAATGACTCACAGATAAGTTTCAACTTCCTCTTTTATGAAGTATTTCTCTTTAGCTGGTCCAGTATGCTATTTTAAGTATTTTCATTATCTTTCAAAAGATCTATAGCACCTGTCTTAATGAGTTCAATATGTGGTTCAACACCATTAGGAATTTCAGATTTCATTATCATGTTCATATCTTCAAAAAAGGATTTCTCCTGAAATTGAATTTACTTGAATGTATAGTTTTCATTTCCAGCATATCTTTTTTGCCTGTGTTATTTATGCTTGATTTGTTTAAAGGGGAAATTTTAAAAATGCACTGTATAACTTTAAAATATGGGAACATACTATATGTTTTCCACCCCTTTAGTTAAAAAGTAAAATTTTCAAAATTATGTTGTTTTTTCAGAGTTCCACATTAGGATTCAAAAAAGTACCCAAGTGAGCAACTAGCTTTTCTTAAGGGGCTAATTAGTTTAAGAAAGCCCGCCCTGCTTAGCTGATTTTCTTACAAGATTAATAATATATTTTTTGGTAAGTGAGATGAGTTTGTTTGTTTTAGAACAATGCCACATTGGGCTATCTGCTGTGTCCACTGTGGGGAATCAAACCCCGGATTTTAGCGTTGCAAATCCGTAAACTTACCGCTGTCCCATCGGGAGACAACAACTTGAATTATTCTCGTCGACAAATCTGATCATAGTTGCAAATAGAATCATCCTTGATCATCACAGTCTGTTGGTAAGTTGATCTAACAAGAACTAATCATTGTTTTTTTATTATTATTTTAGAAGCTCGACAAGACCATTTTTGGGGCTTGGAAGGGCAATATTATCCAGATTTTCTACAGATTTAGATATTTAACACGGCTTCTACAGTTACAAAAACTTAAGAATTACACAGTTTTTCAGCGGAATTTAAATAGTTATTATGCATTTTCAGTTTTCCTTGGTTTTTCGTCATTTTTACAGTCGTGTTTCAGTAAATATACAGCAGGAACCTTCAGTTTCTGCCATATTTTTTATAATTTTGTGTTAAAAGTCTGAGCAAGTCCTAAAGGCACCTCTCATTTAAAGTTGTTGTTTTCACGCTCACCTCAAGCGAAGAGGATTTAAAAGGGTTGTTGTCACGTTTGTTCATGTTAGAATTTTTATTAGCATTTGTTCATGTTAAGGGTGAACAGATTTAAAGTCTAAAGTGTTTTTAAAGATCGTATTTGAATTTCACATAGAGTATTTACGTTGATTAAAGTAACGTCATATTTATGGTAACTTGGGGTACATTTTAACTTGAATTTATATTGAAACTTACACTAATAAGAGCTTCTCATTTTATACCATAGTCTTTTTTTTTAGCTCTTGCCAATCACACACACTCACACGCATGCAATCACTTGCTCAATAATTTGCTTATTAGTGTATTGTATTGTTTATTTGTATTGTTAATTGTGAAAGTGACATTAAGGATTTTTTCTTTGTGTAAGTCTGCGTCTTTTTCTTGTGGCTTAAACTGTGCAGCTCATCAGTAAATCTACACCCAAGTCTGAGATCCTCCATTTATTAGTGAGCCTAACTTCTCTGCTTTGTCAGTTAACTGCGAGATACCATAATTTTATAAAGAGACAACTCTATCTGATTTTAAATTACAACTACAAGTCCTTGAAATCTTTGTCAGCTTCTACGCCTGATGTTTTCCACTAATTGTCTAAAAAATTCAAAAAAATTGAACAGCTTTTTAATTAAAGACAAAGAATAACTGTGATGTTCAATATGCAGTTTCCAGAATTACTATGCAAAGTATAATTTTGAATATAGTAAAGGATCAGCAAACAAACATGGTTGGCTGAATAAAACCAGCAATATATATTCTCACACAAATCAACAAAAGAAACCGGGACAACATGAAGTTTTGAAACATCTATTTGTGGAATAATAGATTTCCGTACAACGTGACACATGATCGCGACAACATTATATCTTAAACGTTGTACGCCATCATGTCTCACTGTTGGAGACAGAACGTTGTTTAGAAATAAATCTATTATTCCACATATAGCTGTTTCAAACTGTTCGTAAGTTAAGTGGATATCTCTTAAAAAGCAAAAGAGAAACTGTACATCTGTTATTAGGACTCCAACTGACTGGTGAAACAGAAATATGAAAATCCAAATATCTCCACAAAACAGAGACGTTATCCAGAAGAATGAAGATACAACCCCTTTAGAAGTTGTATGACTTCATTCCAGGAGAGCATGGCACAAAAACAGGGCCAAGTAAATATAAACTGTACAGAAAAGTCGTTCTTGATCAAAGCAACAGAATCAGTACAACTTTTTATCAGTTGTACACAGTAAAACTTTTATTTACAAGAAGCCCTATCAATAATAATAAAAAATAACGCTATTCTTAACAAATACAAAGGTGTTCAATTATATCTATTTTAATTATTCCCTTCTTTCTTGTGTATAGAACGAATTTCAGTACTTAGACTCAGGTCTAAATTTTTCATTTATTATATTTAAATTTGACAATTCATTCATAAATTACTTTATTGTTTGCAGTTGCTTAGTCGTATGCATATAGATTACTATTGTTTCAGATCTTCACGTGATCCTTTTTTGAAATAAATTCTATTAGCCTCAGTTTTGTATCCCACCTGATGATATCATGTAAACCTGGTGAAACGTTGTGAACAAAGTTTTACTGTGTACAACCAATAAAAAGATTGTGTGAATTTTAAAAACATAGTTATTTCTAATATTTAATTAATTCCGTTAATTGTGTGTAGAAGTCCTACAAGGAAATCAGAAAAATTTACAAAAAGACATATTTTTCACTAATTATGAAAGGATAAAATATTATATTCATTCCACAACCAATAAGACATGAAAATTACGACATGATTTTTATTCTAAAATGATAAAGGAAAGAAATTATTATCGCTAATGTCACCAGGTTTTTTTGTTTTACAATTTAACATTGAACAGTAAATAAATATGCACATGTTGACATTAGCTGGGCATGTCACTCACTGTATAGGTGGCTCCTGTAATACCGCCTATAATCTTGACATGAACTGGGCATGTCACTCACTGTTTTAGTAGATGGCTCCTGTAATACCGCCTATAATCTTGACATTAGCTGGGCATGTCACTCACTGTTATTAGATGGCTCCTGTAATACCGCCTATAATCTTGATATTAGCTGGGCATGTCACTCACTGTTTTAGTAGGTGGCTCCTGTAATACCGCCTATAATTTTGACATGGACTGGGCATGTCACTCACTGTTATTAGATGGCTCCTGTAATACCGCCTATAATCTTGACATTAGCTGGGCATGTCACTCACTGTTTTAGTAGGTGGCTCCTGTAATACCGCCTATAATCTTGACATGGACTGGGCATGTCACTCACTGTTTAGATGGCTCTCGGATTACCGCCTATAATCTTGACATGAGCTGGGATGTCATTCACTGTTTAGATGGCTCCCGGAATACCGCCTGTAATTTTTATATGAGCTGGGCATGTCATTCACTGTTTAGATGGCTCCCGGAATATCTGTCTATAATCTGGTTTGTTACATAGAATTTAGTTTTCAGAGTTATCATAATTTCATTTATATTTGTGTTATTTCATTTTTGGAGGTAGAATCCAAGGAAAATAAGTTAAATACATCGCATATGATTAAACGTAAAGTGCAAGGTTAACCTTTCACTTTTTACATACCTTCAGTTGGTCCACGCTAAAAGGAATGTCATAGATAACTGGTAGGTTCAAGTTGGCACAGTCTTCTACCATGTTCTGAAAAAAAAAGCATCATCAGAGTTTAAGGCGTGTTTTATATTCATCTGTTCAATCAAATAATTACACTGTGTAGACACACCAGAAATGTATAAATAGATCTACCAAAGTGTAATATATACAGTTCTTTATTTCTGTTTTAAACACCGAAATAATGAAATCAATGGCCTTGATATCGGTGACAATTACACGAGATCACAAGTTTGAATATATTTAAAATCCTACTTTATACGCCTTTGATTTGAAGCTCGTTATAGACTAATTAAGAAGATTGTGGAAAACATCAGTCTCGTGTGATTTTTTAACATTAATATTAGGCCTATTTGTTTCATTGTTCGCTAGCTTTGAACGTTTAAAGCCGTAACATTAACTATTTAGTATTGCTTATAAAACAACATTTTAGACATAATATTTTTATCTCCTATTATGTTCTTTTAGCTGATGAGTTCTGGAGTTGAACGGAACGCATTCTGGTCATTGACGTTTAGCAGAGGAAAAATAGATTTAAAATGATATTTCGAAATCCATAATGGAGTAATGAAAAAGAAAAACAACCCTGAAGTCTCAAGTAATTTTTATAAGAAATGTTACATATATTGATATTTGTTTCACCTTGTTTCAAAGCTATTAATATGCTTTAATGAACAACTAGCATCTTTTGTGGAAATCGTACAGTAAATTTGAAAAGACACCCAAACCCAAAAATATTTGAGGTAAATAATGATAATAATATTAACCAGTTTTCTCTGCTACTTCAAAAGTAAGCCTTGGTTCTCTACGTTAAAAGTTCAGCGTTACATGGTAATCCAATGAACTAAGTATTACATTTTAATCAGTAGTTTAAATAATAAATAAACATAGTACTCTGGATGATCAACACTATTGGCTAGAGCCAGATACAAAAAAAAAAAGTTAAAGGTCAAAGTATATTTTTACCAGGTTAGAATACGCGAAAAAAATATTCTTTTACAACTACTTTGTTTTTTTACACTAAGTGTCAACCTGCTAAATCTATATAAATAAACGTCAATGTGTGTGTGTGTGTGTGTATATCTGTTCTTTATTCGTTTCCACATTTCTTGATCAATCAGCATCAAACTTGACACAGTGATACAGGATGGCATGAGGAAAGTCATGGGGTGGGGATGTTATAATGTGACGGTCAATCCCACTATTCGTTGGTAAAAGAGTAGCCCAAGAGTTGGCGGTGGGTGGTGACGACTAGCTGCCTTTCCTCTAGTATTACACTGCTAAATTAGGGACGGCTAGCGCAGATAGCCCTCGTGTAGCTTTGCGCGAAATTCCGGGTTCGAGTCACGTAACTACAAAATAGTGTTAATCTTTTTGAGTACGTGAGTGCGTTATCAGAGCTATAGTTAAATTCCGCTATTCGATTAGAGTCAGCTCAAGAGTAGGTAGTGGGTGCTGTTGACTAGTTAGTTGTCTAGTAGTTAGTGCAGATACTCATTGTATGGCTTTGCTGGAATATTCGTAACAAAGAAACAAATTGTGTTTTACCATTCATTGCATTCGTGAATTGGAACCAGCACAACGGAAATGCTTCCTTTCATTGCCACAGGCTACTCACTGTAGTATGAATTTCCTAACCAAATAGGTCACAATTAATGTAGTGAAACTGTGCCTTTCAATAGAACTGTACTTTAAAACTAGCTGACCACTTTTGAGAAATTATCTGAATCATGTGTGATCACAGATAACCTTCGGAAGAATTTCCTAATATTTTCCTACCCAATACAATCTTGCAAGTTGTAAAAAATAATTATATTAAATATACAGAGAATTATAAGAAAACATTATTATCTTATACCTCAACGCGTTACCAAAAGTTGGGGTAACTTGAAATTTCTTATTTGATATTAATTTCGTTTATATTTCAACTTTTTGATACCGACAATTAAACATTCTCTCTTTGTTAGCATTACCTAACAACGTGGACCGGCCTTAACTCAGTGCTTAGTGTGCCGCACTGTGGATCGGAGGGTCCATGATTCACGTCCTTTCAAAAAATAAATAAGTCATCGCACTCCGCATTTGAGGCCGTGGATGCGTTATAAGAGAGACAATCAAATCCAGCTATTCTATTAGAGTAGCCCATGGGTTGGCGGAGAGTGTTGTTGACTAACTGTCATTTTCTCTAATTCAACTAAACATTAGTGACGGCGAATATCGGAAACAATCATACAAACCCTTATAAAGTTTCTCGTGAAATGTCTTTTATCAGAACAATCACATCTCCAATAATCAACTACTATGCTAAATAAATAAAAGCTCTATCAAAATAAGTTAAACTGAATATTATTTATGTATACCTTAAATCCACTTACTTCGATCATGTTCTGTGTGTAAAGATTACATAAGGACGTGAAAACAACACTTCCTTATCTTTGATGATATTTTAGAACAATTTGTAGACAAGAAAAAGCGCCTTTTTGAAATTCAGTCTAATAAAATAAAATACAAATCACAATGTGGGAAAAGTAAAGTGTACAAAGTTATCGATATACAATTAACACATAGTTTTAGTGAAAAATGTTATTTTAACAGATATATATATATATATATAGAGAGAGAGAGTGTGTGCACCCGACC